TACTACTACTACTACTACTACTACTACTACTACTACTACTACTACTACTGCTTCTACTAATACTACTGCCAAAAGCGTCAGGTCACCTCCGCTAAATCGTCTATTTGCATCATCAGTCTGCTGGATTCAGCCTGCCTCCTGCCCTTGGTGTGTGAGGAACGAGTGAATGGGTGGGTGAGGACAACAGGACGCGCGTTTAAGCTGCCACAATGCGCTAAAAAGTCGTTGCTCGGCAGGCTGCCAACCAGCCGAACAGCTCGGCGCGTCCATTGACTAAACCGCCCTTGTCCCTGCCCAGACATATATTGCCCGCTTTATGTTTCGCCGGCGTTTATTTGACAAACCCCGCGAGCTGGCCTTGACTGAGGACTAGGCACTGGACCCGTCAGTATATGTTTGAGGGAAATATAGGCGGGTTACCTTTGAATTCCCTATTTTTTGTGGTATCAGAAAGATATTATATCAGTTTATTGGTGAGACTAATTGAAATGAGCCAATGAGGTGGAACATAGTTGAAAAAAAGCAGACAGTGAAAAATAATTCCTTGGGCTATTTTGGGCGAAAAAACTATCGCTCTTGGTGGGAGGGTGGGAGGAAGGAGCATCGCAGAGGTCACCGGGATCGTCACTGAAGTGCGGCAGATGTGGCCAGGTACTCCCTTGCTGACTGCAGGGTCGCCAACAAGCTTACGCATACAGGAGTATCCGCCAAGATCGTCGAGATTCCAATAGAGATCGAACCTACGGAGCCAGATGGGCTTACGGTCTAAGGGAGGAAGATTTGATGCAACTATTATGCTGTCAGTAGATGAGAAGCCGTTGTTGTGTAACTGTGGCAAAAACAGTGAAGAAAATACTGTGCTGTGTACAGATTTGGTGTTTTTGTACCATGTTTGGGTAAAGTGTGTCAAAATGTCCATCGATCTCCGAGGAGAGAAGGAGGTCCACCGAGCACCATCAAAGTTTTTCTTTTTTACTATTCTGAGCTTGCGGATCGCGCATACATAAGCTGGCTATGCGACGTTGTGAAGAGTCATCACAAGTAACTGCCAACACCCACGAAACAAATCAGAATCAAGCCGAGCTGCGAATCAATCGAAGCCTGTCTGTGGAATGGAAATTCTGTGATGTATCTATATGTTGTACAGGTATTTTCCTTCATGGCACTGCGCCCATCCAACCTCAGGCTGTATGTTTTCCCGGTTTATAAACATTTTCAATGGATAAGGATCATGTTTTACACGTTGCACGCAGCATTACTAGAGGGGCAGGTACGATGCATTATGGATAGACGTGGACTATGCTGCATACGCCATAAGAGACAT